GGGGGGGGGGGGAGGAGGGTTGCTGGTTGTACGTGTGGTCGATTGCGTCCGTGTCTGCTGGATTCGTGGAATTCCTCAAAGGTGCATTTTAGGTTTCTATGAGAATGCCGCAGCAAATTGAAAGCGCCATGGCAAGCAGCACACTGTGTTCCGTCTCATCGGCATCCTCATCGCCGTTGAGTGGGCCCGATTCCGAAGCTGCACGCCTGGCCATCACGCCGATTACTGGAACAGCAACGACCACCACGTTCTTGGGCATATCGCAGCCAATTTCGCTGTCGCCGCCCGATGCACGAGATTTGGAGCTATCGGACAAGGTGAACAACTTCTCCCAAAATCACATATACACACACGTAGTCGCAAACATAGGTGTGCACATACACACAGACAGGCATACACACACACGCACGCCTGGGTGTCAACGTCCCCGTGAATACTTTGACGGGAAAAATTATTACCCGAAAGCTGGGAGAGGAAGGAGGCTGAAAATTTCAAGAGAATGTTTCCTGGATATGCAGTCCAGTTCTGTGATTTCAGCTATATGAATGCTTGCAAAAGAATGGATGCTTCGAGACGGAGGAAGAAATGAATCTGCGTGTGGATGTGCTGAGTAACATCAACAAACTGGTCAAACGTTGGGTGCGCCATGTCTCCGAGAAGAAGGTTTTTTCTTTTTCTTTTCACACATTTCTTTGCCTTTTTTTCTCAATTCGCCCTAATGCAGCAAGTGCACAAGTAACGAAAACGGTTGGGGTTAAGCAGACAAACAGAGTATTTAAACGGCGGCGGCGGCACTGAACTTCAGTGGATGGGGAAGTATTTAGAGAATTGGTATCTGAAAAGACCTGGTTTTTAGCGTGTCTTTTCTGGTGTGACATTTCTACGGGATTAAGGCACTGAGTACCAGATCTATCTGTCATTACTCGAAAGGAATATCCTCTCTCTGAGGGATCCTACCACAACGAAATGCTCCTATATAACACCCGAGCAATGTGAAATTTGCTCGACATGGATCGAGATTTCCCTCATTCTTTTTAGCCTCCCTGCTTCCAATATTTCTCTCATTTTTTTTTCGTCTTAACTTCCATGGCCACCGTCTTGCTGTCTATATCAACCAACGCTTTTCAGGGGGTCTCATGAGCGGGAAGTTTGACACTTTAACTCAACATTTGGTTTTTCTTTGAGAGGGGTTCCCTGGTTTGGAGGAAGTCACCCATTTTTACCCTTGCCATTGGATCATCCTGCACTGTATATGAGTGTTTTCTTTTTTTTTGCAGCAAATGCCGGAAGCCGAAATTGAAAAGGTGGGCGGCAAACTCTTCACGTTCGGATCGTATCGACTCGGCGTTCACACCAAAGGTGCCTCTTCGCTAATCGATCCGTTGCGCATGACCTTTTGCATCGTGCACAAGCGCATTTTACCCCAATTACCTGTGTTTTGCAGGTGCTGATATTGATTCGTTGTGTGTGGCACCACGTCATGTCAATCGCAGCGATTTCTTCACCAGTTTCTATGAAATGCTGGCAAAGGTACACGCACATCGATTCGCTCAAACAGCACTAAATGTTTTCATGACAAAAAAAAAGCATACCAATCAAAAGAGAGGGGAAAAATTTTGCTCTAGAGCAAAAGTACTGGATAATTTAGAAGCAAACCTGCCAATTCTACCAGTTTTTTTTCTGTTTTTTTTTACCTGAAAATGGACGTTTTTTCTTTTTTTTCAGGACCCGAACACATCGGAGCTGCGACAGGTGCAGGAAGCGTTCGTGCCCGTGATCAAGCTTAAATACCGCGGCATTGAACTGGACATACTTTTCGCCCGTTTGGCCTCAACACAGGTACCGGAAGACCAACAGCTGAAAGATGATTTTATCCTGAAGAATTTGGATGAGAAGAGCATTCGCTCGCTAAACGGTTGGTTTACTGCTGAAGCATGCCAAAAACCATAATCTTGTGCTTTTTTCCCCCCATATGCGATTTATGCATTTTTCAGGCTGCCGCGTCGCCGATGAAATATTAAGCTTGGTACCGAATGTTACCAGTTTCACGTACACGCTTCGAGCGATCAAACTCTGGGCACAAAGTATGTTCTTCCTCATTTCAATTCTTCCTCCTACTTTTTTTTATGCATGCAAAAAAAAAACGTTGCTGGAAAGGGCAGGAAGAGATGGGCTACTTTTTTTTTGAATCGTGTATTAGGACAGTTTTTTAAATTACATGTGTGTAGAAATTTCTATTCAATTCTCGAGTAAACTATAAATTATTTTGAATGGATTTTGCGAAATTTTGCTTAATTCTATGAAATAAATCGGTCTGTTTTTGCTTAATTTTACTTGCTGGAACGGATTGATGGGCTACTTTTTTCAGATCATGGCATTTATTCGAATGTTGTTGGCTTCCTCGGAGGAGTTTCGTGGGCAATTCTAGTTGCCCGTATATGCCAGTTATACCCAAATGCGGCACCATCACGACTTGTGCAAAAATTTTTCATAGTGTTCTCGAGATGGTAAGCATCAGTTTCCTGTCATTTTTGATTCTGTTTATTAATTGTACGTGTCTTACGACTTCGTTTGCACAGTTTTTTTCTTTTTTTCTTTTTTTTTTTTTTTAAGAGGAAGTTAATCTGGGTTGTGCTGTACGAAAAATTACAGGGATTGGCCGCATCCAGTATTTTTAAAAGGCAGTCAGACTGCGCGCCTCATCGAAATGCCGTCCTTCCAGGAACTTGTATGGGATCCGCGCACACGAATTGGTGACCGGTATCTTTTTCCAGACTCTCTCTTCCCATTTGTCTTTCGTTGGAAAGATATCTCAGTGCAGCATGTACCGTACGAATTGGCAATAATTATTGTTACAGATATCACTTGATGCCAATAATAACGCCAGCGTTTCCGGAGCAGAACTCCACATTCAATGTCACCAGATCAACGCGCCAGGTTATGATGGAAGAGATTGGCGAAGGTTCATATAAAATTCTTGTTATTGTTGTTATTATTACCATTATTATTGTTGTTGTTGTTGTTGTTGTTGTCGCTGTCTTAGCTACAGCTACAGGTTTTTTTTTTGCGCAAAATCTCGAAAGTTTCAATTTTCTTATTTCAGGCGTTAGTATCGTAATGGATATAATGGATGGAAAAGCCGAATGGCCAGCGCTCTTCGAGGAGGTTAATTTCTTCTCGCGCTATAAACATTTCCTGGCGCTTCTGTCCATTGCGGCAACTGAGGTATGTTTTTCATCGTTTGTTAAGTTTGTTTTTGAAATACATATAAAAAATGTTTCTGAATTAATGGAGAAAGTCAGGAGAGTGGAGAATTGAGGTTATTGGAGTGCAAAATTCACACACACAAACACACATGCATTTTCAGCAGGACAGCCTTATATGGTCTGGACTGGTTGAATCAAAGATTCGACATCTAATTGCGCAGCTGGAACGACATCCAGCCATCGCGCTCTGCCATATACACCCAAAATACTTTTTGCCACTGACAGATCCACTACCGGTCACGGCACCGATTCCGTAAGTTTGCATTGGGTTTTCTTTCATCCACTTCACCTTTCCAATGCTTTTTTTTGACGCTTCTTACAGCTGTTGATCCTGTACCTGACCCGCCCCCCTCTGCATATCTGACAGTCCTTGCTGCTCTTCACTCATTTTAACTGAACTTAGTTTTCATTGCGGAAAAAAATGGTTGCAGGCTTGAAATTGTTTCATGTTTTAGAGATCCCGTTTGTCGCGTCTGGTTTATCGGATTGGATTTGAACAAGCAGTTAAGCCGAAATATTGACATCCAGAACGAGGTACAAAGCTTCCTGGATATTGTCACATCGGCAGCACATAATCAGTGCATTTATAATGAAGGAATGAGTGTAAGTTCTTTTTTTTTCCCCTTTTTACCATCTTTGAGCACCCCACTTTTTTTTTTTGCATTGCCTTCTCAGTATTACGATTATATAGTGATTTGCTGGTAAATATTGTACCGGTGGCACTGCACTGTCTCCACTTCCCCTTGATTGTGCGTCTGAGCTACTTTTCGGGATTTTCAGGTCCTACCGCAGTACCTTCGCAGAGCGGAACTCCCCAGATGGCTGAAACCAGCGGACTTGGCAAGAGGCCGAAAAGCAACGAAGAAAGTTAAATACAATGCGACGCTTCAGAGACAACAGCAATCAGTTAGTCTCTCTCTTTGTTTGTACTGGGAAAAGTGGTAAATCAGTCCTTGTTCCTCACTGATCTGTGTGCATGTAGCTTAGGAAATCGAGATTTGCATAATTTATTATTAGCTGCACCTGACAGAAATTTCTCTAGTACATATTCCACTGGACTGCGATGTGAAGTGCTTTCCTTTTTCTGGCTTACTGTCTATATCAGGCATGGATAACCTTTGACGACACGCGAACCTTATTTACATACTTACTTAAGCTCGAGGACCGCCTTTTAATAAAACCCATGTAGCAACGCATCAGTCTTGCCGGTGTGACCATGCGTTTTTGCATTAAACTTGATGCATTCAGATCGTCAACACTATGAATGGTTGTTGTCCTACAGTTCAACATG